CAGGAATGCAAGTTGGGCAAAAGCTGGAAAACAGCTGCTGGATAGCAACAAAGGCCAGTATGTTTCTCCACCTAGTAGTTCCCTGGAGGAAGTGTGAAAAGCAAAGAAAATAAATACCAAGTAATTCGCTAATGGTAACTACTCAGGAAACTGTGGAAGCAAGATGTTTCTTCCTGGAGAAAAGTTTCCCTGTTGCCAGTTACCTGCTTTTTATGAAACTCATCAGAAAACTTGGAAAGTAAAGAGCAACACTGCCTTACTGCTGCTTACTGCTGTGTTGGACCTAAGCATAGTTCTCCGGTTTGCAAAAGCCATGCTCCCAGGAGCGTGGAAAGTGAAAACTTAAGGATGTCACCTTAAGGTCAGCAGCAATGTATCTGTTTTATGATAACCACAGAATAATTATGTTAGAAGAGAATCCAGCAAGCTGTCTGATGCCACCTCCCCTTTAAGTTGACCTGATAAGAAGGTGTATTTAAATAGAAATGAATCATTACAATTGGCATAGCTAGAGATAGTAGAAAGATGCATTGCGGGCAATAAAAACTTCCTAAAATATAACTTGTATTGCATTTTAAATAGTGATCCTATCTTTAAGTAAAATAAGATTATGTAGTCTGAAGTTTGTCTTCTACTTTATTTCATAGAACCTGGTAGGACTTGATGCCTAAAATATCTAACAGAAAGGAGATGGTTAACAAAGCAGCAATATAGAAAAAGAAAATAAAGTTCAATGGTTCTTAGTACTGGCACTGAGGAACAACAAACAATATGACATTTTTCAGGGTATTAGTAGTGGCTTATAGGCAGTTGAAAGCTTCCAGCAGACTTCATGAAAGAAGCTGTTCATTTTGAGTTTGCATAGTCTCTTTTCCTGGAGCTTTTCAAGACTCAACTTAATAAAGACATTAGCGACCTGGTCTGAGCTCAGAAAGGACAAGGAACAGAGTGCTAAAATGCATAAATAGCTCTCAGTTTGGTCTTATAAATTATGTTATTCCCCACTGTCTCCAGCAAGAAACTGGAAGACAAGTCAGCATAACTGTACCTGTTTTACTGAAGCTGTTCTGGCTGACCCATCTAATCTGAAAATACCTCCATAGGGAGATAGTATAGATGGCTTGCAATAATAGAAATAAAGCAGTGAGAGCAACGTTTTCTCTCTACAGGTAGATCTTCTGTATGAAGCTGATTCACTAATGCTACAATGACTGCTTTGCAGGGAGCTGTAGAACTCTCTACATATAACCAATACAAGGCAGGCAGGTGCGTGCGCACACACACACAAATTGTATTTCTAACCTCAAACCAATTATTTGTCCTGTCAGAATCCCCCCAGTCAGAAAGATGGAACTGCCCATGGCCATACCACCTCTAAGATGTTTCGGGGCAACCTCCCCAAGATAAAGAGGCTGCACACAGAGACCAATACCTGCAAGGGGGAAAAAAAAAAAAAAAAGTCTTTTAATAAATTAAATCTTACTAAGTTTTCACAGAGTCAGACTGAACTGCTACAGTCAGGAAAGTTTGTTTCTTTACCATATTCTGTTTATTGGATATTAATGAGGCATCATTAATGAAACACCGGTTTATTTTGGATTCTTTTTAATTGTTCTCTATACTTCTCCTAAAACTCCAAAGGTTCTCTCACAGGCCCTTACGCATCCTGGCTGATTTTATACTCAACCTGCAGGATCAAACAGCTGTTTGTTTTAAAGTATCCAGAGCTATGAGTTTATCCTTGGAAACTTAGAATAGTTTATTCTGAACTTTATGGCATTTAAAGTACTCTTTCCAAGTCACCTTAATATGATTCTGGTTTTTGTCTCTTATAATGTTCTTCCCAAACTACTACTACAAGAATTCTTTCAAACAGTTCTAGAGCTTTTTCACTCCCTCCCTCATAAAGACAGTGATGTTGTCTTTGTAACAGCCCACTGCTGAAACTTGTGACAGAATACCACCACTATTATAATCATTGTTTCCCTGACACCACCAGAGAGATGGTTTTCCATGCCTTTACTAACATGTCATAATATACCAGGTCATTATTACAGAACTGCAGTCTGTTTTCTAGATTTTGCTTTGAGAAAGGTTAATCAAAACATATTAAACAACAGACTTTCTCAGATCTCTCTATGAACTTAATAGCCTTCAAATTCCAATTTAGAATGCAGAGTATTTTTGTCATCATATCTATAAAGCAGCATACAAAGATGAACACTCTATGTACAAAAAAAGCAGTAATGACAATTTATCATTCACTGTAGTTTATTGAAAGCAGGAATAGAAAATCACTTACCCGAATTTATACCAATCAAAAACCTGCCAATAATCAATAGCTCAAACATTCCTGCAGGAAAACTGATCCCCATTAAAATGGAGGCCAGTATTGCTATGATATTGTTCATCAAAAGAGCTCCTTTTCTAAAGAGGAAGAGAACAAAACATTATAGATAAAAGGGATAACATGTTTTTTTCAAAAAAAAAATCCTTTTTGATAATATGGAATAAATTGCTTAATGACTGAAGACATACTTTATTCACTGACATCTAGCTAATACAAACTATAGAACTATTTACTTATACTTAGAAATAAAGTCCAAACACAAACATAAGGCATAAATATAACGGGAACGTTTAACAAGGTAGGTGTGTGTTTGTGTTCATTCATGCTGTATCTACACAAAGTGCTTATGACATGTTACAAATTGTGTGGCATATCCTTGGTGGCATGAAGGCTGAAAATGTGTGCACAGGCAAACTGTGTTCATGCCATAAGTTTAGGCATATTTCTGCTTAGATATCAATAAATTTAATGGAAGGTCTGGGATGAGAGACTGTTTTAAAGTAACATTGGAATAAACTGTAGAAGACCGCAACAAAATTACTTGCTAGTGGAAATATTTAGGCACATTTTCTCCCATTCTTTTTCTATTCATTTGTATGAGAAGAAAACATGCCATAGATCTACTTGCTGCCAAAACTCACCTGCCTAGTCGGATTGCCATGCTGCCTCCTACCAGAGCTCCACAAAGGCCTCCAAGTGAAAATATAGATGCAATGACAGACCAGAGAAAGGTCAGCAAATCTAGATTTAGCTTCTTCTGATAACGATGAGTCCAGGTTTCATTTAGGAAGCTGTGTATATGCTGCAGGACAAAAGAATGAGGAACGTGTAGCACTACGTGTTAGGCCTACAGTGTAGCACTATAAATAATTTTCATCTAATTTCTGAAATCCTTTTCTGGAAACTAACAAGACACACCCATCTTAGTGGCATTATATTAAAAATACTAATAACTACCAGAATCTTCTCTGACCAGAACACCATCTCCTATTCCACATACATCCCAAAGACATCTGTGGGGTTTTCCTTTGGTGCCTTCTCTTAGGAGAGTCTATATTCCACCAGAGATGCACAACCTTTCCATATACCACTGGGAGGAAGCTTTGAATCCTTCTGAACAGAAGGATGACAAGGAAGACAGGCAAGTCCCGCTGGCTTTTAGCAATACCTCCCGCTGGCTTTTAGCAATACCTCACAGAAAAAAAGGCTCAAAATCTAGCAGATCCTACTGCCAGGAAATTCATCTTGGCATTTGTTTTAAATTTTGCTTTTAGTGTAATCTGACAAGTCATAGTAAAATCCCCTTTCTCAGCTGAAATTTTCCTCCTCCTTTCTTACTGTCTTCACAAGTCAGTACTCTCTACCTATTATTCTACACACTTGATCTTGTAAAATTTTCCTTCCGAAACTCTTGAATCTGCAATTAGACTTATGCCTTTAGCCAGTAAATAAAGATTAAACACATGAACCAACTTCCTGGACTATCCCTCTGTTTTGAGCATGTGACACCTTCCTTCATGGTCAGCTTATTTTAATGTTTGTAAACATTAAAACATTTGCTACAGCAAATTCAGTCTTCGCAGTTGGATAAGAAAATAAATAATCTGACAGCAGAAAATGATACTCATCACTTTTCATATTAGCTCAGTTCCTCTTCAATCAGCCCTAAAGTATGCAGAGCCCTCAAGACCTCAATGGTAATAGACAGAGTCCTCAATAGTAATAGACAGAAAACTAACAAGAGGGGTGAAACACCTAAGATAATCATTCGGACATCACAGATTCAGCTGCTTCTGCTCCCTAAAATGATCTTTCTCAATATGCTGTCTTGTAATAGACTGCTGTAATAGACTGGGCTAGATTACTCAAAAGTATTAATGTAAGATACTACTTATTCATTCAGCTAATCCTTCAAAAGCAGACATTCAAAGAGGTTTTTAAGTGGCATGTTCTGTCACTTTCATCTGACACAGAGTACTTCCAACATCCAAAGAACAAATTCTTAGAAAACCTTTTAGGAAATCACAAGAACCCTTCAAAGAAGAGGACACCTGCTTTGGTTCCCACTGCCATCACAGTCAAAAGCACATTTGGCCTCCCAGCCCACTGAGAGCGAATACCTCCCTTATAATGAAGACACCCTGAGAACAAAAGAATACCTTACCTGTGTGGGCGCGTTGATAATGGAAACGTTATATCCATACTGAAAGGTGCCTCCAATGCCCACGGCACAGACAGACAGGAACAGGGTCCAGCTGGGGAGCTAGTGAGCCAGAGAAAGCAACAGGGACATGAGAAAAGGCCTTGAACTCACATACACATAGTGTAAATTTGCCCACTGGCTAGAGTAAACCATAGTGAAACTGTCACGCAGTTATTTTTGAACAATGAAAGTGTTTGGTAATAGAACTACACAACCTTGCAAATATCTGCAGGAGGCAAAACTTCACACTGACTTTGGCCATGATCATTGGTATCCCTGAAATACGAAACAATGAGAAATTTTCAGATTAATTGTGGACTACACAATCATTTTATATCTGATGGCATATTTACTGAACTGTGCAAACACTCTGTGAATGATCTGTGCTGTTCAGGGTGTCCAATTTTTATACAATTATATTAAAACTGCTAATGTTTGGTGTTAAAGGCACAGTGAATTAGCAAGAGAAGTAACCAAGTCCTAAATTCTGTAATTAATGTTTCATCTAGATGTAAGAAACAAAAATATTTAATTTACTTCAAAGAGATCCTATGATGTTTATAAGATGTCTACAAGCTAGCAGGTGCCAAACCTTAGTACCTGGAATCACAGCATATGGTGCATTGACAACCTTATTCAATCTATAGTTATAATGTGCTTAATTTTTCATATCTGATGACCTAAAGTTATATTCCTAAGTCAAAATTTAGGAGCTCAAATTAGTAATTCCACAGATTCATATCTTTTAAGGTTAACAGAAACCATTGTTATAACGTATTCTAATTTCCTATCTAATTAGTAATAAAACATTTTACTTCAAATAAAACCTCTGTATTAAAAAGGATTTCTAGTGGTTTATACAGAGTCCAGCTTCATAATGCCATGCTTCTTGATCATATTTTTATATTGAATTTAGCAAAAATTAACACCCATTTATTCTAATAATTAACTAAAGCTCCATTAAAAATTAGGTCCTAATTTTATACCATAAAATCTTTTTGTCTAACTTAAGATAAACACAACTTCGTCATGCATTTGTTTCCTATATTAAATGCACTTTTCCTATCCAGTTTCCTCTTCCTGCTAAAGACTGTGAGTGGTTCTCTTTGATAAGCTTGTACTCTTTTCTCAAGCTACATAAACTGGTGGTTCATCATTTTCATTGCTGGTCCTATTCCCAGAATGTTAAGTTGTTCTAGGCACTCTGAAAGTGTTTTGTCCTTCTAAAGATTTCCAGCTAACAAATACTAATGGAAAGTGGCAAAGGAGTTTGTACTTCTGGATACTGTTCTGCTCTTTCTGACACCCAGAAGGCATGAAGGGCCCTTTGGCGACTTCCACTTGAATACAGCTACACCAGGAAAAAAGCTGTTCATCAAACACAAGGATTAGATTATTCTAGAATTAAACAATAAAACAGTGCAAAGATATCATTTAAGTGAAGAAAAAAAAAAGGAAAAAGAAAAGCAAACACAGAAAAATGAGTGCATATTATACAACTCATATTTGGTTACAATACCTGCACTCCTCTCCCTGACCGTGGCGGTCTGCTCATTGCCCTCGCTCCTCACACAGGAGCTCGGCCCAGGCGTTTTGGACGGGACAACAGCCTCACCTGTTCTGCGGATGGTTGAACTTGTGACCATTAAGGAGCCTTTCACCTCACTTCAGAAACATGCCAGAAACAGAAGCCAATTCAGCTTGTACTCGGTGCGCAAAGACGGGACTCAGAAAACCTGCTGCTGCAGCTCCCATTCCAGGACACAGCTCTGAGTCACGGGGTGCATAAAACCCCACAAGCCAGGTCGCTTAAGGCGATGATGACTTGAAGCTAGACGCGAGGCAGCCAGAGCCCTCCCCACGCGTGCCTGAGCAGCGCTCAAGCCCACGGGAGGCTCCCGCGGGCTCCGCTCACCTCGCGCCGGGGGCCAGGCCCTCTCAGCAGCGGCTGCTGCTCCATGCGCAGCGCGGGCGGAGCAGCGACCCTCCGCCAGGACGCGGCGAGCCGCCCACAGGGCCGCCCGCT